AGTTGGAAATTTGTTTTATTTGGGTCTTCTTAATCCCCGTACAGTATTAGTCTCATGAAAAAACAAGGGGAAAGTTTACCACAGACTAAATCATTCATTTCAGGGATGCTGTTGCCTCTGTGTTTATTATGTCAGTGATGGCCTCAGCCCTTAGTGGGAGACACACAGTTATGATAGGAAAATCTGGGAAATTGAGTTATTTCTTTTAGGAATTATAAATCTTATTTACAGAAATCCCCTAAAGTTACTTACATGAACTCAGCCAAGCCTAGCAGAAGAGTGGGCTCAAGCATTGAGGTTTCAGCCATTCCTTTGGGATTCTCAGCTAGATACCTCGCTGTTCTATATTGGGTTCTGGGTCCATGCTGTTAGCTACTGTCTATGCGTCTATGCTTGTCTGCTTTGTCAGTTTGGAGATTTTAATTCATGAAGGGTTTTTCTCCTAATCTTATCTTTCCTTAGTTCACTCTGATTTGGACTGTATTATAGATCCATGGAAGAGGTTTGAGGAAAAAGTAATTGGATGAATAATGTGTTGGTACTGGGGTATTTTACATGGATGGCATCTGTTAGTATTATATAGCATGATTAAAGAAACCTGCTAAACTTGAATCAAGCGAGATTGGCTAAGACCACGTATGGGAATGTGAAAAAAAGGCTTGAAGAATATACTTTCATATTTTACCATATTATTTCATGGAATTGCATCTAATTGGTTTATGATTGAGAACAAGTATCTTTTCATGTGCACCCAGGGTTTTTTTTTAGCTGATGTTAGATGACTGTACACAAATACAAAATAAGTAGAGCTAGACTTTGGTGCGCCCGTGTGCGTGCACGAGTGCGTGTTCATGCATGCATGTGTAACTTTCATTAAGAATTTGCCTGCCTAGAGTTCTCCATCAGTGTGATTTAAATTGGTTCCATTTCAACTGTTGCCATATTCGCGAGGTCTCAATCCATGTTTTAAATTCTTGCTTGTTTATGTACATTTAAATCATGAAACTTAGTAAAGCAAAAGTAAACTAAACCAAAAGGTCCAATATTCAGTAGAAAGTAGATCTTGGTTTTAGTCTCAATTTTAACTTTCTAAAATCTTGGGCAAGTCAATTAATCACTCTGAAACTGCTTATTGTTACTTAATTGTAGCTTCTGCCTTGATTAAGGAGAGCTAAAGTCAGTGGAACATATGAAACCATCGACCAGGGTACTTTGTAAAGTATACCACTACATTAAAACGTACAAGGGATTATTTTAATGCCTGGGTCCAGATGTGTTTCAGATTTTAGAGTTTTTCAGATTTGGCATGTTTGTATAGACTTTACTGGTTGGGCGTTCTAATCTGAAAATCCAAAGTATGAAGTTCCCCTAAATCCAAAGCTTTTGAGTTGTTGGCATAGTGCTTTAAAAACTTTTTGGATTTTGGAGCATTTTGTAGTTTTGGATTGAGAATGCTTTGGATTGACAAACCTGTACCTCATTTTCTCAAGTGAAGAGACCATTTAAGAAAACACTTTGCAGGAAAATAATCCTTAGGAGATTTCTTATGATAATTATTCTTCTGACAATTGTATATTGACACCTGATTTGAAGCTTTTTATTTTAACAATGAATTGGGTTTTTACTAGTGTTCTAACTAAAGGTTTGTTTAATTTATTAGAGTTATTAAGCCTACGTTCAGATCAAGTTAGCAGCTAGACTGGTGTGACAACCTGTTTTTAATCAGTGACTCAAAGCTGTTATCACCCTGATGTCACCGAATGGCCACAGCTTGTAAAAGGTAATTTTGAATGTTATTTTACAGTCTTTAAAAGGCTGTCATTGTAAAGTGAAATACATGCTATAAAATAAAGAAAATGTTTAGTTGTCAGGAATACTGTTAAAAATAGAGGACCTAAGAATAGACATATTTTTCCATTTAATCCTCTTTCTAAAATATTTGAGGGCCCCTCTTACCTGTCCTTCCAATCATGATAGTCACCAAAGACTTGTCTGTCTATATGGATAAGTAAGAATTTCTCAAAAAGCTTCAAGGTTTCATTATAGACATTGTAAGGAGTATATGGAAAATGTCTTAATGTGTATTTTAAGTGTACCTTTTATGTGGTAGAAGTTAAAATATTTTTCTAGAAGTTTTTGCACCTTTAATAAAACTAGTATACTTTTTTCTCCTAGAGAGTTACAGTGGAGTTAAAAGGAGTGGCTTACAGGATGGAGAAGCTGCACCCTGTGTTAATGGAAGTGAGCCACCATTTGAATTTGCTAGCTCATGTTGTAGTGTTCAGATTAGTGGGTGTTTTGTGATCACATTTTCTGTCATTCAAATTAAGACCTAAAATTGACACTCTTAAGATTTTTTTTAATGCTTCTTCATTGTATTTTACTTTTAAAATTTCCTTTCTCTTTTATTATTTTGGAAAACTTTAAGACAACTTAATTTTTTTTTAAACCTTTGGTTGGCAATATATTCTGAATTTGATAAAATTAGGAGCATGTACTGGATTCTAATTTCCAGCATATTGACAGTAAAAAAATATTTAAGAGCCAAAGTAAAGCTTTGGCATTCTTAGTAGATGTTACATGTATTTCAGAGTTTTGAGACTTAACTCTGGTTTTAGGATATATTTTGATAACTTAATTAGAATACTATAGAAGTATATACTATAAGCCAACTTTATTCAGATGTACACAGTTATTTAAGAAACATGTTTTTGTTCTGTATATATTTACCGTTTTTTCTTTTAAAAATTTGTAATTTGAATGAAAGCAGCCTATGCTATGTTTAAAAAGACCTAGGACAAATTTATTTTACGGTAATGATCTTTGATTTTTTTTTTTTTACTCTTGTTTTCTGAATTGGGTTACTTTAAATTATTTGGTTTGGCTTTATGGTGTATAATATATGTAAACATTAAGTAAGGATCTAGTCTATTTAAAATAGAGTGGTTTTATGAGAGGAAATAGAATTGGGAAAATAGCTGTAGTTTCCATTTGATATTTAATCTCTATCCCATTTCAGGATCTCAAAACTTTTCAGCAGTTTATAGAATGCTCTTGATAAAATTTGGTTTTGTTTTCTTCTGCTTGTCTTACTTTTTTTTCTATGATATTTTTCTTGTCATCATGCCATAACTTTCTTTAGATCCTTCTCTTTTCCTGTTCATTTTGAACCCTTTTCTGCCTGTTTAAAAATTTCTAATGTGTCTCTCTTCCCTTAGTGCTGGCAGGTTTATTTTTTGTTTTGCAACCAGGTCCACCTTCTAAAGTGTAACATCTGAGAGAAGGTCACACTTTCAGAAATGAGTAAGCCTAGTACATGGGTTACCATCATTTTTTAGCTCTTTTGGCTAGAGTACAAGTTTGGAAGCAGTCTTAGGGTACTTGACACAAGGCTGGTGGAGACCAGGTTTGTCTGAGAGGTGATTTGCTTGTTCTCTTAGTTTTGCATTTATATTACTGCTCCAGTGTTTAGTTCTTATGTAATTTTGTGTGAAACAGAAACTGTAAATACACTACAAAGAAAATAAAATATAAATTATTTCAGGTGTTGGGGTGTTTTTACTACAGTGTGTGTGTGTTCTGACTTGGAATCTGAATGACTACAGGGGGTGCAGTATTGAAAGGATGATTAACAAAAGAGACGTTTTACACTAAGAAATTTAGAATACAGTTGATTTTAAGATTCTTTTTTAAAAAATTAAGTTGAAAGTCTGAATTCAATGATAAACTTACAAATCAAGATTTTGTATACAAGTTTGAAGTTTTAATTTATCTTAATTTGAGTCTATTTGGGAAATACAGATGTTAAAACTCAGTTTAGAACATAAGACACATTAATGACATGTCTGCAAATAAACAAGATAACAGGATTTTTTTGTTGTTTTGTTTTTATAAAGCAGGGTCTTACTTATAGTCCAGACTGACCTCACAGTAAGCTCATCCTGCCTTATCCTCTTGAATGTAGTGTAGTGTGGCCTGGACCTCAGTATGTAGTCCAGGCTGACCTCAAATAAGCATGATCCTGCTTCAGCTTCCTGAATGTAGGAATGCTATACTGGAATTTATTTAGCAACATGTTAGGAATAGGGACAGTTGGTTGACATTCTCCCAATTGAAAATGAGGTACTTCTTTACACTTTAGAATTTTGAGTTTTTTCTATATGATTTAATATATTAAAAAATAAAGACAATAACTAGCAGCTCTTTAAAACTAAAGCTGATTCACAAGTACCTAGCAAAATGTTAATACTCCAGATATGTGCTTATGACAGATATTCCTGCTAGTGTATATTTAGGGAAAATTAATTTCATTGTTGATCCAAAATAATCATGATTGGAATAGTACATATGATTTAAATATCTCAATATTCATGTGGACTATTAAATTTTACTTTTAATTGTTTAAAGCACGTACAAAATAAATATTTTAGGTTTTGAGGACTACATGGTTTCTGCTTCAAATACTTAACTTTGCTCTTTCAAACTGAAAAGTGGCCATAGACAATACTAAATGAATGTGAGTCTTCCAATAAAATATTACTTACAAAAGGATATTATCCCAAGCCTTAGTGTGTTTGCTCAGACTGTAGTTTGCTACACTTCATCTAAATTTTAAGGCTATGTTAACATGGTATGACCAGTACTTGTTAACATGGGTGACCAGTACTTGGCTATAGAAAGTTTCAAAGTTTTGTGTTATATATCATACGTATTTGGCTTGTAAATAATATGGCTTATACTGATCTGTCGTTTGGTACCTAAGTGTAATGTTAACAGTTTCTTTTTTAAACAAGGCATTGAGGTTTTCTAATTTGTCCTTATGTGTTGTGTGACAATCTGATCTGACCCCTTTTTTCTCATGTTGGAATCCTCCTTTTTTAAGACCCTTTTATTTAGAGCTTAAGCCTTGTTTTCAAATTTGTCTTTTCCTAGTTACATGTCTGTCCCTTTTTGGAATCTGGAATATTTCACTAACTTTTTTCCTTAATTGCATTTTACAGATCACCAGGAGAACCTCAGTCTGACGACATTGAAGCTAGCCGAATGTAAGTATAATTTGGCTGAGGCTGTGGTATGTTTTAAGTTGCCCCGGAGTGCTTTAAATTATATCACATTATTTTAAACTAACTTCCAAAACAAAAAAAGGAACGTTTTAAAAGTGTATCGAGCTAGGGACGTATCTACTTATTCCCTACCAAATACTTCCAAACCTCTACAAGCTGGTAAGTACATGATTGCATAATTCTGAATTATTAAGTCTTTGTGTCCCTAGCTGCTATAGGTAAATGGAGAAATTAGGAAGGGCTGATAATCTTAGTGCTTGATATCCACTAATTTAAAGTTCATTAAATCAAGATTGCTTAAATACAGCTGCTGTTTACCTTAAATGTAAGGGATCCAGTCCTTTGCTGTGGATGTACATACATAAGAGTTCTAACTACTAACAGAGTGAAAGATGCAGAAATAGATCCTTTTTATTATTGAGGTAGAATGGTACTTGGGATGCAGAGGGAACAAAGTACCAAAATTTGCAATATGAACTTAATGCACCTGACAGAAAAATTGGAGTAACTAAGTAAGACTAGGACAAGTCTTGAAATGTTACTTTGAGCTAGGCAGCTAAAAGTTTGATCAGTGTTCTAGGCAGAATCATGGGCAAGGGGATGAAGCAGAATACTGAGTAAAGGGGATGAAGCAGAATACTGAGTAAAGAGGAAGAGTATAGACAATAAGATGTTTCTAGGTCACAGATTGACAAAGGAATGAATGAAAAATAGAGATAAAACTTAATCATTAGAAAGGAGTAGGCAGATGACTGGGGAGATGGCATAGTGGATAAAGCATCTGCAATGCAAGTATGAAGACTGAGGTTAGTTTAGATCCCCAGCAGTCCCGTAAAAGGCTGATAGGCAAAATGCCCCCCCCCCCCCCCCGCCACAATCCCAGCATTTGGAAGGAAGAGACTGGGGTTCTGAACCTGGGGCAAGCTAGCTAGCTAGGCTATCAGAATTGTTGAAGTCTGAAGTGTAGTGAAAGTGGACAGCAATTGGTGTTGACCTCTGAATATCATACATGCCCACACTCATGTGTATGTATGTCTACGCATTTCCCCAACATGTGCGCCTGCGCACCTACATACCCCTCCCCCACACACATGTACTAACAACCATAAAGAAGGAGTAGGCAGAACTTTTAAATGTAATGAGAAAGGTCTTGACTATTTATCTTAGATATTTGTAATCATAAGAATTTGCTTAATTAGGGAATAGTACCACTGGCAGACATTTTAAATAAATGTAATAGCAAAGAAACAAATTTGAAGAGAACCATGTAGTGTTTTGGTGGTCAGGCCTTCAGTAATAGTTCAGTTCATTAAAGCCTTACTAAGAGCGGTTGTGTAATGAGAATTTATGATGAAGTGTTCTTGATTTACAACAAATATTTAGAGAGTAAAATAAGAATTCAGTAATTTGTTTTAAAAGCTTAACTTTAAGCTAATAGAGGTGTTAATTATCAAGAAGCTTTTAAGATAGTAAAGATTTGATTGAGAAATATTACTGCACAAGTTGGCCCTGAAGGAAGAGCTGTGGGAGACGATCCCCTGTTGTATGAAATTAGGAGGAGGCAAAGTTAGACCTGGGAAGCTAAATGTATTTATTGGTGAGGTTGAAAAGTCAAGGTTTTCTTTACTGAAAACAGAGCAAATCCTTTTAAATGCTTATGTATGTTGTGAATTCTAAGAAATAACTATGAACTGTCTTCCTTAAATTTATATGATGATGTAATTTTTCTGCTAACTTTAAAGTTGTAAAATTCAGAAACTTTACTGTTTGTTTAGTATACATTTCAGTGGTATCATGAACATTTATTTTGTTGAGGATTTATCACTAGAATTGTTTATGTTTTGCAATATTGAAACATTGTACCCATTAAACAGTAACTTTCTATTGCTCCAGGCAGCCACTATTCTTTTTGTTTGTGATTTTTGGCTACTCTACCTACCTCAAGTTAGAGTAGTCATATATAGCTTTTTTGTTTTGATGAACTTCAAAGTTCATTCAGGTACAGCATATATTAAAATTTCCTTTCTTTTTTAGGCCAAGTAATATACATGTATGTATTGTATTTTGCCTTTCCATTCATCTGTTGATGGGTTATTTCCTTGTTGTAGCAATTAGGAATAATGTTGCTGTAACCATAGGTGTTGAGATCTTGTTCTAAATTCTTTTGAGTATATATCCAGAAGTGTAGTTACAATATTATGGTAATTATGCTTTAAAATTATTTAAATTATTTAAAATTTTATTTTATGTGGTTTGCCTGTATCTAATTGTACCATATGCATCCAATGCTTGTGGAGGCCAGAAGAAGGCATTAGACCTCTGGAACTGGAGTTACAGATGGTTGGTTGCTAGCCACCATATTGGTGCTGGGAACTGATTTTTGGTTCTCTGCAAGAGCATCCAATGCTCTTAACCTATGAGCTATCTCACCAGTCCTATATTTTAAATTTTTTGAGAATGTACCATAACTGTTTTAAAGAGCAGCTATACCATCTTGTTTCCTTTAACACAAGGGCTGCACTTTTTCTACATCTTGGCTAACACATTAGAAAATTCTTTTTGATAATAGTCATCCTAATGGATACAAGTGCTATTTCATTATAGTTTAGTGACCAAGGAACTTTGTTTTATTGTTAAGTTTATTTGTATAATCAAAGAAAGGAGCAGGCATGGCTGTAACCATAGAACTTCTTATCCCATGTAATTGTTTTTGAAACACTTTTTAATGGTGTTTTGGGGAGCACTATAATTAACGTAGTTTAGTTAGGGAATTGAGTATACTGAAAACTTAAGGCTATTGAGAATTTGAGAATTTTGGATGAAGAAATTGATCAAATATTGAAAATTTCTTACACTGAATGGTCAGTTGAGGTTAAAAACCTTATGATGCTTGCAATTTTTAGAGACTTCTGCAGTACAGATGATTATGGATATTTTAGGTTAAGTATTAGTAGAATAGATGGGACAGAACTATTACTAGTAGCATGTACATAGAATTTTAACATTGACTCAGTTGCATTTGTGCCTTGTTGTCATTGACTGTGGCTGGAAAGGTTCTGGTACTCCAGGATGGTATTGGATTGCTTAAAAAGAGCCTATGCCTTGAGGTCTGAGTGCTAGCAAGATGGAAACCTTTAGTTTGATTAAGAAAAGACTCAACAAACAGAAGTCATTACATGTGATACCCCTGAGCAGAGGTTTATAAGAGACTATCATGAACATTTATGCACCCAAAAATTGTTTAACCTAGAACCTACTTTTTTTGTTCTGTTAACCCATAAGAAAAACAAAACGCACATTCCTCAACATGTAGTGTACCAAGACTTCATTGTTTAAAATAAAGAGATTAAGTAATAAAGTCTTATATTAAATAATGCCCAGGACCCAATGACTTTACTGCTGAATTCCCCTAAACTTTTGAAGAATTAATCATCATTCTTTTCCAGACTTGTCCAAAAATAAGGTTTTTAAGCTATCTTTGAAGCCATCATTACTCTGATATGAAAGCAAGAGAGAAACTCTACTTCCTTAGGGCAGTAGCAAAAAATTCTGAAGAAAATAAGACTGAATTAAATAACATAATAATCATTCATCATAATTACATGGAATTTATCTCAAGGGAAACAAAGGTTGTTTGACATACCCAAATCTGTACATGGATGCATCACTGTATTACTTACTTTTCTTTTGGGTATGATAAAATGCCATGACCAAAAACAAAATGTAGAGGAGAAAAGGTTTATTTTAGCTTACAGTTTCAGAGGGTATAGTCCATCTTAATAATCATGGCATGATGGTAGGAGCAGAAAGCTGATGAATCAAATTTCTTTAACACACAGGAAGCAGAGACAGAGAAAGACACACAGAGAGAGAGAAACAGGAAGTAGGACAAGATATATCAAAGCCCACCCCTAGGACATACTTCCTTCAGCAAGGTTCTGTTTGCTAAAAGTTCTGTAATCTTCCTAAATAGGCCACCAGGTGAGGCTTAAGTGTTCAGTACATGAGCCTATGGGGGACATTTCACATTCAAACTACTGCAAACCCATTAATAGACTGAGAAAAAAAGCATGTGATCATATGAATGATGGGATAAAGCGTTTCACAAAACCTAAACCTCTTTACAAGAAAAACTTTAAACAAATACATGTATAAGGGATGTAGCTCAGTACAATAAAGGCTGCATATGTTAAACCAACTCTGGACATCACACTCAGTGGTGAAAGTGAAACTTGTTTCTTTAAAACAATTACTGCATTTTATTTATTTGTGTGTGGGTGTGTACATGTGAGCATGCCGTATCAAACATGGAGTTCAGAGGACTTTAGGGAGTTAGTTTTTGCCTTTCATAATGATGTTAGTCTTGAGAAATCTCAGATTTTCAGACTTGGTGGCAGGTGCCTTTTGTAAGATTTTCTTTAAGATCAGAAACAAGAGAAGGTTGTTTGCTCTTGCTCCTTCTATTCAGCATTACATTGGACGAATAATTAATTGAAATAAACAAAATTTACCCTAGTAGGAAAGGAAGAAGTTGCTCTTGTTCACAGCTCATATGATCTTATGTATAGGAAAATTCTAAAAGAGGCATTGTGGCACTTGTACTTGGAAGATAGGTAGGAGAATCAGGAGTTTGAGACACTTGACCTGTACAGTGAGTCCAGAGCCAGCCTGAGCTATATAGGAGATCTTGTCTCAGAAAAGAAAATAATCTAAAGACACTATCAAAATGCATATTAAAATTAGTAAGTTCAATAAAGTTTCAATATACAAAATCTATTGAAGTCAGTGGTTGTATATATTTTTTGAGTTAACTGAAAAATCAAGAAAATTCCATTTAAAATGGCTACATACAATTTAAAATAAAATCTTTAGGAGTAAGTTTTACAAAAGGAATGAAAGATCTCTATACTGAAAAGAAGAGGAAGCATTGAAGAAAGAAATTGAAGAAAATGCAAATGAACGGAAAAGGTATGTTCATTGGT